CATCAAAAAAAGATGAATGATTTAGTTTATGTGATGTATAACTCCAAGCTGAAAAGTAGACAGATTCGAAAAACTATAGCTCTTTCATTTGATGACATAGAATCAGATGATGAATGGATAGCTGAAGAGACAGATGATGTTGTTGAGATTGATCAAGTTGAAGGTGAAAATGATAGTGAAAATGTTCACTTAGATGGAGCAACAACAAATCCTGTTTTAGATGCTCTTGATCTTGATAACATAACATTTGAGAACAATGAGGATGCACAAGCACAACATTCATTAGAGGAAGAGTTAGATGATGATGATGATGATGGAGATGATGATGCCATTATTAGAGGATTAGAGGATTAGGCATAGAGACTTTGACATTTCAATTTATATTTTACATTATATCTTTATGTTATGAACAATATTTCTATGAACTTATGTATTTCAATTTATATAATTTTGTTATCTTATTTGAATTAGAATGTTATTTATATTTTTTTCATACAAAGTAAACTCTTACAAGTTTACGAGTCGAGTTTACGAGTCGAGTTTACCGGACTCTCACGAGTTTACGTAAACTCTCGACTTTGACAACCTTGATGACAGAGTTTTAGAAATCACTCATAATATCTCTCTACTTCTTTAATTTTTCACATTTCCCTTTCGTTGTCTCTAATTTCACATTTTCTCTCACTCTCGTTCCTCTCTTCCTCTCTAAACCTTTTCCTCTCGTTATCTCTAATTTCACATTCCCTCTCACTCTCGTTCATCTCTAAACCGCAGTTTGTACATCATAATAAGTTATTTTTATATGTCATAAAATGTGATTTTTGCACTAATGATTGATCAAAGAGTATCAAAGTTAAATAAAATAAATTCATATTTATTTCATTAATCCACATAAAGTAGCTAGAAATTTGTTATAAATAATGAAATATGAATTTAACGGACTGATTTAATATCGCTTCTAATTTAAAACTTCAAAAAATAAATTTATTTTTATTAATTTTATATGGTGTTTAACTTATTTATTTTTATTCAATATAAAATATAAATTTACGTTTGATTTTTCCAATAAATTGTGACATTAATGTTTAAAAATCTTATATCAATTAAAAATAAAATTAATTTATAATATATAAGTGAGTGTAAATTTTAAATACAAACTAATTTTATAAAATTGATTGAAATTTAATTTTTAATATTATATTAAATGAATCTATTGTATCATTATTATTTATAAATATATAGTGACACTATCAAGATATAAAAAATGTGTTTATGAGTAAGTGTACAGTTCTTATCATATAAATCGATTTTATAAATTTGAATTAAGTTTAAATTTCATTTCTTATAATTTTGATTACTAAATATATGTATTTGATTTATGCATTATTTTGTATAATTTTTTCTTAGAAGAAACATAAATAATTTAAAATTAGGTTAGAAAAATGGAATAAAAGTTATAAAAAAATTATAATGTAACCATCGCTTCTTTTATAACATAGAAGACAGTGATAAATTCTATTATTTTTGTTGTCCTATACTTTAGAAAGTGACCATCAACGTTGGTAGCACCCCAAACGAACTATGAAAGTGTTACATAAGAGACTTTGGTTGGAATAGGAAAAACAATAATTCAAATGGAAGCCTCTAACTAATTTTACCACAAACTTACATATCAATAATAGGTTATCAAACTTTCTGAAAAACTTACAAAGGCCACGATAGAAATTAATAGCCAAAATTATTGATAAAATAAAAGGTGTTAAGAACATTTGAAATTCCATCTATATGTTTAAGAAGCATCCACCACAAACATGAACTAACACAAATTAGGGTTTAGACATAACATTATTACAAGAAAATAATGACTTAAATGTTTTAACATGTAAGTGTTGTAATTAGTGTTATAATTTTAAGTAAGTTTAATCTTATATAAAAAAGAAGACTCACCCATACATTATTTTTAGATTTTATATTAAAGATGATCTTATAGTCTTGTTATAAAAACTTATTTGACTGATTGATACCAAATTTTCTTAATCTTAACAAAAATCCAAGAGTCTTAACGAAAAAAAAGTCAATGTATGAATTATATTATAATAGAAAAGATAAGCTCTAATTATCTACTAAAAATTGTCCAACACATCACAATGAACTCTATGTAATGAGATATATGGTGTCTTTTTGTTTAGATAGGGCCAATGGTAGGACCTCCACTACCCAAAAGAAAAAAGAAAGTAGTGAGTTGAAGGGAAAGTGTAGCACAAACTTTAGCTTAGGATAATGTTTTGCATTAGGAGAGGCATTGGTTGAGTTTGATATTGTTGAGTCAAAAGTTGCTTTATTGATGGGATAAAATAGCCACAATTCAATGTTAGGGGTTCATGTATTTCAGTCCTTACATCTTCAACTATCCTTACCTCATGCAATTAATATACTCAGTTTGAATACAAAGCAAGATAAAAAAAAAAAAAAGAGTTTGGTTTGTATTGAAAGAGTTGCACTTGTGGTTGGGTAAAGAAGTAGACAAAGTGGTCCCTCTTTTTGTGTTTTGAGATAGCTTCGTTTACATTCAAAGAACTGTCACGCCATGCTTGGTACATCAAAATATCTTTACCAAATATTTATTATCATCTTTAGGTTTTCTATGGGCAAACAATTATATACTACCATGATTTCCAAGAGTAAAAATCCATAAAATTTATGATAGTCTCTTCTTGTGTTGGAATAATGTTTATAATATTTTATTAAGAGAAGTTTTAAGCTCAATTCATATATAAGAAATTAACATTATTTTAATCCAAAAATAATAAATTTAATCTTTATATAAAATTCAATTTTTTTATTTTTATGTGATATAAAACCTAGATTCATACTTAAATTATATATATATTTAATTAATTTAATATGCTTTTAGCATTCCTATTAGTGAAATAGATCATAGTTTTTTAAATATGAAATGAAAGATAAAGTTTCTAAAGTAAAGTAATTGAAAATGTGCCCAAAAGTTGTATAATGGGCGAGAAGAAACACCTCAAAATTCATGGGATATTAATGTTTCGGCTAAGGTAAACAGGCCCAGTATTCAGGTGTGCAGTTAAAAAGTATGGGCGTGCAGGAAGATAAGGCCTTGACCCTTTTAGAGAGTTTAATTCAGAACTCAAAGTTAATCGACCCAAAAGAAGAGGGGAAAGTGAATAAATTTAAAACTTTTATTTCAATTAAATTTTTCATTTTGCTAGATGATGTGTTTGGATAAAATTTTCTTTAGCTATTTTTATGATAAAAGGAAAAAATAAAAAAAAATTCAAGCAAAATTGTACTTGTTAAAATCAGATTTTAGAAATTTAATTTCTCTAAATTAATTTATATTTTCACATGAATGTGTAGAAAAAAGGATATTCACTGATAAAATAAAAAAGGAGTCAAAGTGATGTTTAAAAAAATTATTGAGTAATGAAACTCGGACATATTTCTTGTAATACTTGATTGAATATATAACAATACATTCAATGATATTATAAGCACATAAAAGAAGTATAAAGAAATGGTAACCAACAAAGATATAAAAACTTTCATTCTGATTGAGGTATATTTGGATCTACATCTACTTAAAATTACCATAATTTTAATGAAGTTATTTCATTATACTTTTTTAAATCTGAATGCAACCATAACTTACATGCAGTCAAATACACTTACACAAGATGTACAACTTTATTGAAAACTTACCAATAAAACAACCCGACCATGTAAAAATATATTACATGAATACATCAAACCTAAATGTACATAATATTACACAATACTTTTCAGCATAAACCCTCTTTAAAAAAATTATGAATAAAATTAGTTTTTGGATTCTTGTAAAATTCTTAAAAACTAAATTATTCTTATAAAATTTAGCGTGTATCTTGAAACGTTTCTAATATTCAATCTCCGAACTACTCGTTTTCCTCTTAAATATTTGTTCTTTCTAAGACGGAAGGGATTGTGCTTGTAAAAAATATTTTAACACTTAAGTTAATTTAGTGTGTTAGTAAGCAGTAAATACAATAACTAATGAAACATAATTAACATATTTTGTAAAATATGTTATTTATACTGACTGTCTATTAATTTTTATTTGGAAAGATCTAAATGAATGACTTAAATATTTATAAACTTTTAAATTATTGTTATTATTTATGAGTCATAATAATTAAGTGTCTTATGTAATGTTGTACTGAATAAATATATCGATTTAATAATTAATACATATTTTTCTAGAAACTAATATAATATGCTGAGAAATATTCGACGTCATATACAATTGAAAAAAAATTTATAATTAATTAGCTTCAAAATTTTTGCATAAAACCTATTATACGAACCAGTCTAATAAACTATTTAAATAATCAATTATAGCTCATATATGAAAACTTTACAAACCCGAAGTAATAAACAAATATCAACAAAAGCAATTTTAACATATGGAAAGAACATTTTTTTTATATATATTAAGCTTTGACTAAGCAAGTCTTGGAAGTGGTGGAAAAATAAATAATAGGTTTAATGTCTCGGTAGGTCCCTATTTTTGGCGTGAATCTCAAACAGGTCCTTTTTCTTTTCGGCGTCTCAATTGGGTCCTTTTTTGTGTAAAATTGCAGCAATTAGAGATCTGCCGTCAAATTCAACAAACGGCCGTTTAAATTTGGCCTACGTGGTATGGTGAGATGGTGAGTGTATTCATTATGAGGCGCACCGACCTCCCCGCCCGTGACCTCCGCATATTGGACCCTCTCCTCTCCTACCCTTCCACCCTTCTTGGCCGTGAGAGGGCCATCGTCATCAACTTGGAGCGCATCAAGGCCATCATCACCGCCCACGAGGTCCTCCTCCTCAACTCACGTGACCCCTCCGTCACCCCCTTCGTCCAAGAGCTCCAGGCCAGGATCCTCCGCCACCACCAGGCCTTCTCTTCCAAACATCACGACCACCACACCGACTCCGACCCCGACCACGACCACGTCCCCGATGCCATCAAGATTCTCCCTTTCGAATTCGTGGCCCTGGAGGCCTGCCTTGAAGCCGCCTGTAGCGTATTGGAGAACGAGGTCCGTGCTTCCCTCTTCTCTTCTTTTCATTTCTTGCCGACAATTTCCCTCTGTCTTTACCCTAAATCTCTCTCTGATGACTCACAGGCAAAGACGTTGGAGCAGGAGGCTCATCCCGCCTTGGACAAGCTCACATCCAAGATCAGTACTCTCAATTTGGAACGCGTTCGTCAAATTAAGAGCCGATTGGTCGCCATCACTGGCCGTGTTCAGAAGGTTGGTGGGTGTGATTGATGCATGGCATGGGCTTCCGGGGGTTTGATTATTTCATTGTTTGATCATTTGTTCAGGTGAGGGATGAATTGGAGCACTTGCTGGACGACGACGATGATATGGCTGAGATGTATCTGACGGATAAGTTAGCCGAACAGCAGATGGAAGAGAGCTCTTCCGCATCCTCCATAAATGACCACGACGAGCAGGATATAGATGACA